AGAGGAGAGGTTAGGGTTTATAGTTGATAAATCACTTTAATTAGTAATTAATTTTTATTTTTATCAATGAAAATATTCCTATGAATTCTCAATTATATATTGACCAACCTCACATGTAAAGGATTGATTATGAATGAAAAACAAAAATTTCGAAAGAAGGAAGATGATTAGGGTTTTTTCCATTTTAGAATTTAGGTTCCATCGATTAGGGTTTTTGGCGCAGACGTCGATATTGAAACACTGATTTTGGCAAGATTTAGAATCCTACTACGATGAATTCAATTGCCTAGAATACCACTTCGGTTGGCAAGACCTAAGATATAGAGATAAATTAAGAAAATTCACTCTAAAAAAAATTCACTCAACAGAGGAAGTTACAAATTGAAACTTGATTAAAACTTGATGCAAACAACGGAGGGAACATGGTTATTTATAAGCAAAATCCAACTAAGGTAATAAATGAAAAGCAAAATGCAATTGGGAGTTAGCCAATTTTGTAGAATTGAATGGCCATTTTTGTTGACTTGTGTGGCCATTTGAAAAAATTGCACTGGCCTATTTGTAGTCTACAGTGTAGTTAGAGTTTCGTTGACTTTGTTTTGTAATGCTAGTGCATTTTCTTGGTGCTTTCTCCCAGTGTAGTTTTTCTCTCTTCACGGGGAGAGCGACATGGAGGAGTGTTATTAAGTCCATGTAAGCACCTTTACATGGTGGAATATCCATGTCAGATGTTCCCATTAAAATAATGTGCCACGCTAGCAAAAATTAACGAAGGGATTAAAAGGGGTTGGATTTCAAACTTTAAGGATTAAAAAGGGAATTTTTTTAGTACAAGGACCAAAAAAAGGGCTTTTTTTTCAATAGTAGAAGGACCAAAAAAGGTATTTAACCTTTGGGCATGCTACCACCAGCCAGCACACTACCAATCCTTGAATCCTCATTGTCATCAATAACACCAAACCTACTCCTTAAAATGTAGGTTGTATCAGGGAATATGTAAGTAGGAGATGAAAATCTATTTATAAGTTCCACCTTAGAATATGAAAACTACCACCAAACCAGCTTCTAGACCCTAACACCTGCGTAAACTGCAAATCCTTTAAGCACTGCCATCCAGTCCAACAGCTAGAACTAGTGCGTTTCCAAACCTTGACACCATGGAGATCTCCCACATCAAAACAGCACCAGCCATTGGAGCCTAAATGTGCTGCAGACCTTAAAAGTTTAGGTGTAGAAAGAGCAAAACAGAAATATTCATCCTACAAGATTAGGAAGTTTAATTGATACTTATTCTGGTTGCTTTGTATTCCTTTACCAGTCCACATACTAGTGGAAAAAATATACCAATATTCAAGACCATAATCAGCTTCCTACACCTATCAACAACACCTAGACCTATCATGTCTAACATCTTTTGCATATTTATTGATAGAAAGCTCAATATGAAATAAAACCCAATCACAACCAGCACCAAAGTGCCAATTTCTTCAATATAGCAGCTAGCTTCATGATCAAATCCAAGACTCATTAAGTTCCCTTTTAACCAAGTGAAACTCCCATACTAAGCAAACTTTGCACCAGACTGAGCTCTAATATAATCCAACGAAAATGCCCACAAAACTATCAAATGGGTCCAAGTGATTGAGATAATTAACAACATATCCAAGATAAACATACCACCCAAGACTGGAAATTAATTCTAAACCCTGATACCCAACAGCCAAACAATCCAAGGAGGGTCTCAAGAGGAGATTTCACCTGAAAAACACTGCTATCCACCCAAGCCGTAATGAATTTCAAAAGCCCTTTCCAAAATGTAACAAGCTTTAGTGAAATATGATCCTCTTTTCTGAGTATTCTTGAACGAATTGCAAAGAAAAGAAAGATCTGATCCATAAATTGGTGTTTTGAGATGTTAAATTCAGGGGAATAGCTTGGCATCGTCATGAAATAAGATCTAGAGCTGGAAAATTGGTTTGATAGTTTTGGGCTGATGATTGGGGAAGAAAAGATGCAGGAAATGTTTTTGGGTTTCACTGTGAAATGGAAAACTTTGAACAGAATCGAACGGAAAGTAGAAGGAAAGTTGGAGGCTGGAATTTACAGGGGAGGGGAGGTGAGGCAGCAGGAAGAAGACGTAAAACAGCATTTGGGAGTGCCTGACAGCAGTTCCCATTAGGCTGCAGAGGAAGCTCTCTCATGGGAGAGGAGAAAGCCATAGGGCCGGCTAAATCCTAGAGGTGATTAATGTGATTATAATTGAAAGATTTATTATTTCAAAATTTGAGAGTTTCAACTTGGCCTTACTAGTAAATTATCCTAGAGGTGATTAATGCACACTTGCATTTGTTCCACGACCCAACCATTCTATGTTATATAGATTGAACTTGATAATTTTTTATGCAGTTGAAACTAGGGCTTTTATGCCCTCGCGGTAAGTCGAGGGGTATTATAGATATGAGGAAAGTGTTGAAGGAGCGTGGTGTTTAGGTTAGCATGCTTTGAGGTACTTGTAAAGTTGTTCTAATAGCCAGTATGGAAAACAGTTTCCATTATATTTTAAGGATGAGTTTGGAGCCTGTGTATGGAAGTTTTTTTTCATATAATTTTGACCAGTTCAGTTTAATATAAATCATGTGAAGTTAATAGGTTCTTTAAAGATATTAAACAACTTTCATTAAGTAAATCTTATACAGAAAAAGTACAACATAATTTAGAAGTATAAAGAAACTCAACCAAACAAAAAAAGAAAAACATGGTACTAAAGTAGATACACGCTTATTAAGGGTTTAAAGCAAGACGCAAAAGGATATTAATGAAAACATTTCAAACAAGTCTTTGCATGCACTCTTAACACCTGGCACTTCTCAAACACCTCGATGCTATCTGCTGATGATCCACGTTGTTCCCTCCATACTAAAGGCTTCAGGCTGTTTCAAGACCGAGGGAAAATTGTGAATGTTGTTTGCAGTACGGTAAGTAGAAGCAAGAAAGCTGCTGCAAAAATGGATATCAAAGCCCAAGGAGTGTTCAAATAATTGTGCCTTAAGCTTGCCATCCTTTCGTTCCAAGGCTCGCGGCAATGGTCGTTGACCTCCTTAAACAACTTGGCGTAAAAGAAGTTGGTTGTGTCAATCAGGAGTTCATGTCCAAGCCTATTAAACATCTTGGCAGCTGCTTCGTCAGTGCCTAACCAGTGATCCATTATCTCCTTTTGACAAAGTAACTCCACATCCTTCTCGTTATCAATGATAAAATCCAGGAAACACATATAATCAGTCAAGCGTTTTCGAGATCCACTGCTGTCAAACTGTTCATAGGCAATGATATTGAAATAAAGTAACTCAGTCTGATCTTGAATACTTACAGGTGGAATGTAAAGTGTCCCCTTTTCAAACTTTATATCAAACATGTTGTCTTCATTACCCTTTCTGAACTTGATTCCTGCCTCTCTTAGTTTTGTAGCAGAACGGGTGGAGCAACTTATAACACCTCTTTCCCCTTGCTCGCGTGCAGGCATTGAACCGACTGAAGAAAGCCAATTGGTGCATAATAATTCTAATAGATGCTTGACCTTTTTTATTGATCTTTCATCATAGATTTGACAATCCTTGATCTTTGGCATTAGATTTCCAAACAACTCAATAATTTCATGAATCCAGGACCTGCTTCGATTCGGAAAGGCGATGCCTGAAAACTCCCATAGTACAAAAAAGGGAAGTTGATTCTCAACTAGTATCAAATCTTCTAAAATGTTGGAGCGAATCTGGACATTCATGCTTAGGATGGAATCATCGAAGCTTTCATTAATTAATTTGAAAAATAGCTCGACAATAAAACATCCATCAAGAACCATCATTTTTAAAAAGTCTTCATTGGAAATATCCAAAGATTCCGCATAATAGTTACGAGCATTTTCCATCATACCTCCCATGGCCTCTACATATCTTTGAGCACTATTCTGATTTGTTCGTCGAAGAAGATCTTTAAGAAAACGCCCCTTGTGAGTTTCCATTGCTTTTAAATGATCTTTTTGGCAATGATAAGGGCCAATGGAAATGAGTTTAGGTTCATAGGCTTTTTCATTTAGGTTGCGGAGATAAGGAGGCACTCGAAAAATTTTGGGCCATGAAGAAAATTCGGCAGTAAGGCCCTACATCCAGCGATCTATATCCATATCTATACAAACCTGGGTAGAGTTATTCATTTGCGCCATCCCCTGATATAAAATATAGAAACTTACTATAATTTGTTAACAATGAAATATATATTATGGATGCCATGGGATAAAAAGTTAAAATAAGTTAAGCTTTCAGATAGAGAAAAGTAAATGAAAAAAAAAAATAATTTAACCAGAAACTCAAGATTGGAAGAAGTTAAATCAATGAAACAATTTAGCCCAATAAACATATGATATATTACATATATAATACATAAATAAATACGAAGAAAGTAACAAATTTAATTTTTGACCAATATATAGCTAGAAGCTTACTTGTTGATTTGTTGAAGACATGAAGGCGGAACTATTTTAACCGAATAAATCTTTGCTACGAAGAGCCTTCCACAATACAAAGCCAAAATGAATGGAAGAGACTTGAGGTAAAAGAGATGATCACCAAATATAAGGAGCTTTGCCTACTTGCCTACTCACTTTCTCTATCACAAAAATAATAATAATTTTTTATTTTTTTAGATTAAATATTTGAGAATATTTTTTTAAAATTTTTACTTAGATACTTTTTTTTAAAGGATAAAAGATAATTAAATCAAAAGATAATAATAAAGTTAAAATAAGAAAAAATATTTCTCTTTTTTAAAATATAAAAAATAAAAATTAATTAAAGCAAATTCTAAGTAAAAAATATTTATCTCCATAAAAATTTAAAAAACGGAAAATTAATTTGAAACAAATTTTAAATAAAAAGACTATAATTGTACTCCTCTGTCCAAGAATAATATACATTATTTTATTTTATTTTTGTATTCAGAATTTGGAGAATTTTTCTATTTTTACCAATTTTATCCTTAAAAAAATAAAAATAAATAGAAAGACTTTTTTTTTATGGTAGAATAAATAATTAAAGTTATACGTCATTTATCCCAAAATAATTATCATTTTTGACTTTTTTCCTAAATTAAGAATTTGAAAATAATATTTATATTTATTTATAATACGCTTTTAAAAAATAAGACAATAAAAAAGTTTTTGTGATTGGATGATTAATTAAAATAAATAAATAATGATAAAGTTAAAGTAAGAAAAATATATTTATTTATCTTGAAAAATAAAAAAATAACAATTAATTTAAGATAAATTTGAATTTAAAAAATAGCAATTATTTTTGGGATGGAGGAAGTAATGATAAGATTAAAGTAAAAAATATTTGTTTTTTTTTTTAAATATGAATGAAAAGCTAATTACTCCTTTCATTCAATTTTAATAGGGTTAGTTTTTATTATTCATAAAATAAGGTTGTAATAATTAATTGTTAAATTTGATATTAATTTTTAATTAATCACTAATAGTTGTCCTGTTTTTTAATAAAGAATATGTCGCCATTATTTTTTTAAAATAGAGATAAAATAAAAATAAATATATTCAATTATATTTTAAAAAAATATGACTAATTAAATTTAAATATTTTAAATTAAAAATTAATTATATTAAAATTAAATAAAAAGAGTATTATTGTGTGACGAAAGGAATAGAATAAAGGGGGTAACAATTATAAAATGATTTCAAGAAAAGCTGTCCTGCAAAGCTGGACCCGGGGATCCTCCATGTAGTTTCGTATAGACGACGAAAGATAGTGGGCCATGCAATGAAGATCCACCTAGACCGAATGTTCGAAACAGTTGGGCCCCAAAGTCTTCAGCAGCATTTTGATGTCTTCTGTTACAATATTAAATTCGTGTTTGTGATTAGTTGAAGTGTTGTAATTATGATTTTTTAATATTTTATTATAAAAAAATTATATTATTATTTAATAATTATTTTAAAAAGAGTTTTATATATTAATATAATTATTAAATTATATTTTTTTAGTTTAATTTTAATAGACTTATATGAGACATTTAAATTTAATTGTTTATTTTTTAAAATATTATTTAATATATTTTATTATTATTATTTTAAAAAATAATTATAACATATTATTAAATAAGAAATTTTATTTAAATAATATTTAATTAAGAGTAAATATAACATTTAATTAATTAATTATTGTATTTTTATTTATTTAAAAAAATTGAGTTTATTAAAAATAAATAAAAAGAATATAAAATATCAATAAAAATTAATTTAATCATAATAAATTAATATTTTTATAATATATTATAAAAAAAGATTATGAAAATGTAATTTCAATTGCTACTAATATGTTTGATTTGGAGAGGATTTGAAGAGGATGAAGAGATAATTATTTTATTTGATTATTAAAAGATTAGAGAAGAAGAGAAGGAAGTTCTTTATTTTAATTTTCTTTATTTATTTACATGAGAAAAAGAGAAATAAAAAATAATTAAAAATAAAAAATATGATATCTTTCTACTTTCTTTAAATCAAACTTACTAGAATGGATAAACATTATCCTTGATTAACTTTTTGACAGGAACTGTTTTTTAATATTAATTAACCAGGATTATGAAAAAATAGAGAGAAAAATAAAGGAAAGAAAATGTAAAGGAGAGAACAATAAAGGAAAAAAATAAAGAGAATAAAAAAAAGGTGAAAGAGACAAAACAAAGGCGAAAAATAAAGAGGAGAAATTTTACCAAAAAAAAAAAATAAAGAGGAGAAAACAAAGGTGAAGAACGTGGTTTCACCCCCACAAAAATGGAAAAAAGAAAAAAAAAGTGAAGAACGTGGGCCGAGCTGGGATCTAGTTGTGAGCAAAGCCTCTTGTGCCTCCATGTTTCTCCTGTGAGCAATTTTTTTTAGTACTAGTTAAATATGGGTTACATTTGAAATATAATTTAAAATTTTTTAGGTATAAATTTTTAAATTTAATACTTATTTAAATATTTAAAGACTTAGAGTTGGTATTTAACTTAATAAGTATTAAGTTACTTATGAATATATAATTATGTATTTGATTTAAGAAAAGAAAAAGCCTTCTACAAATTGTTATTATTGCATATGGTATGTGTTTAATTTATAATTTATCATTTATAAGAATTATTATTGTTAAATTATTGTTATATAGATATTAAGAATAAAGAGTATAGTTAAAATTTCAATTATACAAATATATAGGTAAGAGTTTAATTAAAAAAGTTAATTAAATAAAAGGTTTTTTAATTTGTATTTTAAGGATTCAAGTTAAGAATCTTGAAAAATAAAAAATAATTTTTAATTTATCAATTATTTAATTAAATTTATTCATGTCACATTAACTCTAAAATTAGAGTTTATTTTTATATTTTTTTATATAAATTTATTATAAAAAAGTATTTGATGCACCAAATACGCACTACTTTTAGGCAAGTGAACCTAATCGATTATGCAGTATAAGATGAGTAAGATATCGTTCCCTCGAAGACTATCCTACAGTACCAAGACACTATTAATCTAACCTAAGTTGAATTAACCAATTAATAGGGAGAACTAAACTATTTAAAAGAAAACTAAGTAAACTAAAGAAAATTAAACTAAAGAATTTTCTAAATTAAAGAAATTATGAATGGGAAAGAACTAGGGTTTGGATTTCATTTAATTCTGAATTATGCAACTGTTTCATTAATTTAATTCAAGTTCAAATAATAGTGTTATTGCATGAGATGGCGGATTTCCCTAAATTAATTAACCAGCTTTCTCAAGTCAAGCTAATCCTTCATTTGTTTGCTAAATTAATCATATCTCTA